GGCGTCGACTTCGATAATGTTTTGTTATTTGTCGTGGGAGCTGTCGTGCTTATGATGATTGGGTACTGCTCAGCTTTTGAAATTGGTAAGTATAACCACCATGGCTTCTGTAGGATGTCTATATTCGTATGTTACAGCTGTTACACATGTATTTGAATTGAATTCGTAAATAATAAGGGACGCAACCGACGTATTACTCTTATTAATAGGACGGTGTTCGGCGGGAGTCGGGAATAAACAAATATTCGCAGTTAAAGGGCGGTACTCGTCACGCCACGTTCTCTTAGCGACGTATACAACGAGTGTAAAATACATTGTTAATTTATATGAATTTCTAACACGCGCTGCGCGACGACCACAGCCCTTTAAGGGTATCTGACATAGTATTAATATCGGTCACATTAACATAAGCATTGGGGAGGGAGACTCACTGGAAGTACGAATTCAAATATTTCATTGGGAAAGAGTTCCTTACAGACCCCCCCCCCCTCACCCCTAACCTAACCCGAAAACTACAGCTTGCTCCCCCAATGTAATTGTATATGCCACTCCAGATAACTATGCATGTCCTGCAGAGGAGTATATACAATTAAATTTGGAAAGGGGCACTGGAGGGGCAAGGTTAGGGTTAGAGTCATAAGGAATCTTACCTTTCATGGGGACACTAACCCATCGAAAATTCCCTTTGAAAGGGGGAAACCAACAATGTAAGAAAATAGGAAGTCTATAAAGTTTTGTTTGAATTATGAAGAAACTCTTTACTAAAGACTGTCACTCTGTAATCATGTTTTAACAAAATAGTCTTTATGTACTTGTCAATCATCTCTTACCACTAAATACTTTGCTTAGATATTACAAAAGTAGCTGAATTTGATCAGTTTAAGTTAAAGATAAAGCGAAAGTTACTTTAATATATTTGTTGTTTGATTTTCAGTATATATGACTGATCGCTGTGGTGAAACTGTGATTGGTGGAGCTGGTGGATTCATAGAACCAGATACGAGTCTTTCTTATCCAAACGACATGGACTGTACCATTGTGGTAACAGTTGAGGCAGAACACAAGATACTACTTCAGATCACTAGATTTTCACTGGAACCACCTGTTGATGGTGCATGTGTGGATAAACTGAATATTTACGATGGCGGTAGCGTGTCGAGCCCCAGCCTGAGTGGGGATTTGTGTGATTCCCAGACTGTTGCCGATATGGTGTCATCAGGTAACATGCTCACTTTCCGTATGCAGACTGATGTCATAGGAAATGGCCACGGATTTGCAATTGTATACACAGCTTATCTTGATAAAACTGATGGTAGGTGTGATTTCCATGGCAATTGGATCATATTTAATACATATTATGCAAAATAGAGTTTATTCAATATTTTATAGGTAACATCCTTGTACATTGACCTCTACCAATTTCTGGTAAGATCTTATGGGAATCCTAATACCACATTTGTAATAAACACACTATGAATATTTAATATACTCAAAAACAATAGCTACACACTAAGAAAATACAATATATATAAATAAACACTAAAATTCCACTGGTTTGCAAGGGCAGAGGCACTATACCTAGGCAAAAGGAAGGTCACATGTGCTGATATAAATACAGGAGACCAAGTGTCTTTTAGTAGCACATGCATTTACGTAAATGACACAGGTCTTGCCTTTTGAAAATGGCTGGAGAGCGACAGATAGCTTTCCCCAAAGCACTAAGGAGAGATATGGTAGTAGTTTCTACACAGACTGCATGTATTAAATAAAAAACAAAGTGATGACTGAGCTGCATCTATGTTTGAATATTTTAATAATCCAGCATGCAATAAATACAATTTTAGTGTATGTGTGCTTCTGTTAGAAATATGCTTTTTATAGAGCAAATATTTTGCAAGTTTGTGTTGCCGTCCTTGCATGAAAGAACAGCCCAATACAGCATGGTCTAATTAGTTAAGTGGTTTAAAATAATCAGACTAAAGCAGTCCCATGACCTGGTTGGCACAGAAGTAATTTCATAACACAGAAGACAAAAAGAATAAAGTCTCTTTAAATGTATCTCTTCATCTGACACTTTCTGTGTGTTATTTCTTTGAAACATAGATTTATCGAAAATGTCACCACAATGTATGAAACTCATAGATCACTGCATCAAACACTGCTAGGTGTTGAATCTCCTGGTGTACTGTCTTGTGTATTTTAATTAATTCTAATCTCATGCATTCATTTTGTTGTATGTTTATTTGTTGGTGGTTTTTATGACCACATGTATGTTTGAATGAATATGTACATAAACACCACATGCATATGTGTTGCTATGGATAGTATGGGACTAATATCAAACACAATAAAGTCTATTGTTAACATTTTCTTTATCTTTACAGGAGTGTCCTGTCCTACAGATTACTTTGCATGTAATAATGGTATCTGTATACTGTCTGAGTTAGAGTGTAACAACTTTGATCAGTGTGGGGATGGAACAGATGAATCTAACTGTAAAGGTAATATTATAGTAGTTCACTTTTAGTCTCTACCTTATAGAATAATTGTTTTATGTGAGAATTTCATAGTATTTGCTAGCTACTATGAGTAACTCTGTAAAATACTCGCGTTTAGGTATTGTTTATGTTCTTTTTCTTATATTTGATGTAAGAATTTACCGTTTCAAAGAAAATAAATATTTATTATTATTATTATTACAAGACACTTCGCGATGAACTTCTTAGTGGCAGTGATATTTACCAAAATATTTGTTAACAACTCTGTAGACCTTTTATAACTTGCTGGCATAGCATTCAATTCCCACCACCAATTACATATAGTGTCAGCATTTTGGCTCATTTCTAACAAATCCAAAATAATTCTGGATAATTTTCCTTACTTTGCATTGTACTATGTTTGCATTTGAAGTTTTGATGAATTTAATGGGTGTATATATTTTAGTATGTACATGTACACACATGTAAATACCCATCAAATATTAGTAAAAGAATTTATTATATATTTATTAAAAAATATTGCTTTCCCTTGCCATAATTATGCATTCTACTATCCATGTAACTTAATGCAGAAAAAATGATAAATAAGATTAAGATTAAATTTCTCAACTGGTTGATTTTGCAGTATTGGTGGGATTTTTTTGCAAATATTGTATTCACTGACAATTATTTAGTATTTTAATTAAATACATTTACTGTATGGTGACTCTTTCTTTGGGGCATAATTGTGACTCTCATGTGGAGTACCATGTTGAATATGTTCCAGCCCGTGTAAATACTTGTCAAAGTCATTTATTGTTGTTGACTTACCAAAAAACAACATTGCTATGTTTCTAGGCACACAACGAACTTGAAACAAATGGAACCGTCCAATCCAAGCAACCTGCATCTCTGAAAATCGAGTCTTATCGCCCTTGCGTTTCTGACACGCCCGGGGGACCAAAATTTGTGAATCACTTCGTGACCAAAATTTGATGATAATAGGCAAGGGGGTGAGGGACTGCTTTTCAAAAACATAATTTTATATATAGGGTATATAATTATTACTTAAAATATTATTACAAAATTCTTACAAAACATGATCATATATATTGTAATATTGCTGCAAAATTGCTGTCATTGTATTTTAACACTTTTTCTCAATTCTCATCTTAGCAACAGCTTACATGTAGTTTTAGCTTAGGGGAAAACATATATTCATTTTTGTGAAAGGAAATGGGATTGAAAAAATCATTATCTCTTTGCATATAGAGCCGGTGGAGATAGTGTTACCTTACCTGTACTGTAAAATACTTTATTTTAGCTGGAAATAATTTTCGCTGTAAAGACTTAAGTTAAGTTTAAGTTTAGGAAAAAGATGTATTCGCTGGATTTTATATTCACTGAATCACGGCAAAAAAAATTCCAAGTGAAAATGAAGTATTTTACAGTACACAATATTTTGAAGCGTGGTGCATGTGCTGAATTACACATGCTAACTTGTATGGGAAAAAACTACTTTAGCGTTACAATTCTCAAATTGCCTCTTAATTTATCAAAGAGGTTTGAAAGAAAAGTTTTGAAACATTATTATTTTTTGTTGTAGCATTCTTCCATAAAAGTTAATATGAATATATTACTAGAAAATAAAGCTAAAGAATACATCATAAAAGCAGTGGGATTACATAATATTTGGTATAATTTCATTGCAGAAGATGATGATCTCATAGACGGAGGATTGACCGTGGGTCAAGTGATTGCTATCATTTTGGGAATCCTACTGCTGGCTGTGCTTGTTGGTGCCATAGTGTACTTTGTAAAACGTCATCAAAAAGCCAAGCGACTTACAGAGGAAATTATGATGACAGAGAAAGTTATTTATCCTCGTGATAATGTCTACAGTGATAAAGACTTTTGGGGTGATCGACCGGTATCATCTTTTAACAGGAGATCAGGAACTTCTTAGTTAAACTTCAAGTGAATTGCATCATGACACACTTTCATGAGATTTAGTAATTTCTGACAATGTGTAGACATTCAGATGGCAGCTAGCAGCTGATTAATTTCAATAACAACAAAACCATTCCACTTTAGATGTGGCAATATGCATGCAAAACATCATTTGTGTGTGCTGGTACTGTTTTTATCGCTGTGATAACAATTGCGCATATTAATTAATAACAGCAAAAATTTTTATTTGACAACAATTTTTTAAGAAGGGTAACACTTAATAATAATCAGCATATTATTTGTGAGTGTAGTTCCAGAAACTTCTCTGTCATTTTAACACTTGCGTTTGATAAAAGATAACACCTGCTATTATTTATTCATAGAGTTGGTTGATACTCATTGTGTTATCTATCACCTTCCATTCATACGAGTCTATGACATAACTTGTAGAACTATAGCTCTATGACCAAGTAATAGCAGGTGAAATCCTTATTATATCCTCTTACAAACCGTTAAGTATTCGTAAATGGGGTCAATTTGTGTAGTTTTCTTGATTTATTCTGCAGATATAGGTAAAATATAGGTAAGGCTTTGGCGAAATTTGAAAGAGCAACTAATATTCTTCAACCTGGTATTTTTTATAGATTTTATTTTTCGTTCTGTTCCAGTTTGAAAAATATTAGCTCGCCGGAGCCTTCATCCCTTGTCTATTTCTTACACTAGGTACCAGCCGATACCACCCCCCACTCATAGGGAGTGCGAACAGTTGATCATAGTTCCTGGACTCCCTGTGACTTGAGTGAGTAGCTGCAAACATAAATATTTTTGGATTTGTTGAGTGTTGAGAGAGGAGGGTCCGTATATTCTTGTTGTAAAATAGCTGTCAATCTACACTATTTAATACCCCTTAGTTTACCACAATATTGAATAAAACTGTTTTCTCTTTAATGAGTTTGATACTTTGTCTTCTCCATTTACTGTATTTCTTAAAAATGTGTTTTGTAAATATTAGGACGTATTTTTGTATATTTTTATGTTAAACAAACAAGTGTATTTTATGTTAAATAATCATGAAACAATTTATGAATATTTTCAGTTAATATTAACTATTCATGTTAATTATATAGTAGGATTATAATATTACAATTTTAACTGCTGGTTCAGTTTTTGTTTTTTAGAACATTTACATTTGTGCATTCCATTAGTTATTAAGAATATATTTAAAGGTAAATATTAATATTTTAGCTGTGAAATTTACAACATTTTAAAGCCATTTTCCTTTCAGCTGTACAAACTCCAGTTATTCGAATATGTGTGTATAATATTTTTGCGATTTGATATATGAATAAAGTTACAAAAATGACTGAATCCCCACAAAATTATTTAAAATTTGTTTCTTGTATCACAAAAAAATAAAAGTAGTAATTTAATTTATGCACAAAGACTTATTCGTTTTCCCAGTGTTTTGATGAATGGCTTAGAATACAAGTATGATCTAAATCAACCATCACTCATCTGGTAACTGTCATGAAAAATAAATTACAAGACGTATTGTATTGTTACGTTGCATATTGCTGAATAGTCTCTAGTTTGTTTGCTGTGATCAAGCATGTGATACACCAATAAATATATTAATTATTTCTTATCAGTAGGATAAATCTAACATGTTTTTGAGGGCATAATCCTATCTATGGCATCAAGTCCAATTGAGTAATGTACAATTTGACTATGCCAGGTTTTTGAGAAATTATAATTTTTTATCAACTTTCATTTAGTCACGCATTCAACAATGAAATTCAAATATGAACCAATCTTTTGAAGTTTGCCCAGAATAATAATTTTGTAAATTAAACATTGTCTGGTACTTTTATTCATTTTATTAATTTTTAATTTCCTTATACCAGGGGTGGGGGGGTTGTATGTGTTCTTTCATACATTTATTATTTAAACGACAAATTAAATGTGTTTATTTTGACGTGTTTTTGTAATATATTTTTTCTATGATATTTTAAACATTTATATCTTCATTGGATTATTGTTGTGTATCTTATTTCGTCATCTGACATTGATCACATTCCTGTGGTCAAACACTAGGAAATGTTTTAATATAGCCGTGGTTATTTTTTGTTTCAAAGTAATTAAAATCACTTCAGAAATTGTTTTGATGAAATGTATTTGACTCGTTTGTATCTCAGGTGGTATTAGTTATAGCAAAGATTGATACAATGAAAAATATGCAAGTGCAGAGTTGTAAGGGAACCAATTTTCAAGGCCAAAGTTTGTAAAATAGCCTCTGCCTAAAGGAATAATCAAGGAAAACTCATTGTACTTCAAGGCAGTAATAGCCCTGCAAGTGTCCCAGGCAATGCACACTTCTAGAAATGCTAATGAAAGTGAGAAAGTTTGTTTTTCCACCTGTAATTGCATATTACCGGTAGTTGTCTCTTTGAATTTAATCACATATCTAACAATGCTCATTTTTGTTTCAACAATATTGGATTTTCCAAAAAACATCCACGATGTTGTGTGATGTTACTGGTCAAAAAGATTGATCCAAGTGAAATGGTGTGATTGTTACGAACCATGTACTAGTATATTATAACTATTTTTCTTGTAGTCTTAATGTGGAATTAATTAATTACATGCATAAATATCATTAGCTTGGCATGACATTCTATCAGTTGACAATTGGTTTGAAGTCCTAGACTTATTGGTTGCCGGTATACCCATGAATCAAAGATCGTGTCGCTGACTTTCCAAATGTATTGACTGAAATAAACTTTTAATACAATAAATAATATGTCAAGTCAAATTACCCAATTTAAATTATATTTCTGTAGAAAGGTCAAATTTTCATTGTTGAATAGAATCAGTCTGAAACTTGCTGTCAATTATCCGTTAGCTTCTTCTTGTTTGGAAGTAAAGTTTGTTAGCTGTTCGAAAAATATCGTTTTTTTCCCCCAAGGCCTAAAACTATGCTTCTGCTCAGCGTGTGGGACCGAACGTTGATTTTCCCCTGTTTTGCGACTGCACAGCGCCCTCTGTTGAACAATTGACTGAACCTGCAAAATGTTCGTGCCACCAAATACTTTTAGCGCCTCGCATCACTGCCCATTTTTGACCCAAAACAAACATTATGAACAGAAACTTTTTTTTGCGAGGCCTTATCTTTAGTCTGTATAGTTTTGATTTATAATTAGCACCATTGCGGGAATGCATCACATACGATTTGATCCGACGTATTATCGTGGAATTCGAGTAACGTCCGGTTACTGATCTATGATCGAACTCGGACGCCGTGATCGCGGCAGTTTTTGTGAAACAATCCTTCATTTATATCGCGGCAATGCTAGGAATGTAGATGCCTTGATACCGATGAATCATTGTATCGTGTAATATCATTCTAAAAGTCATCAAATATATTTGTGTGGGCCGACCTGGGCTTATAACCATGGATATGATCATAATATGAGAGTTATGCTTTGAATACTTGATATAGTGTGTGTGTGTGTGTGTGTGTGAATATGCGAGGGGAATGCCAGTTCTCTGAATAAACATGAGGGATTAAGCACGTCGTGTATTGTATACCGTCACGGTGCAGTCTGAACGTGGCAATGTGATACTCATATAATAATGGTAACTAATGCTCGCCTGGCGAGCAGGTTGTTTTTGAAAGAAAAAAGAAACGCTGAGGGCAGCATACACTCTCAGCTTTAATATCCCATGATTCTTCAGTTTCATCACACGTTAATTTATTTCAGATTAAAAACAGTAAACTGAAAGTTATGTATACAATGCTGCAAATTAATTCCATTAGCAGGTACTTATGTAACTAGTTCATTAAGTCATGGGTGTATTATTTCACCCTAACCGTTCCTTAATTGCTCCCGTCGTAAAGCTTGAATGAAATTAAATATGCTTTTAATTCTGTTAAGTAAGTAAGCAAGTTAAGTAATGTGGATCTCAAAAATAACCCATACATTATCACTGAAGTCTTTTCCTGTCCGTTACACAAAGTTTCATTCACCTCGCAGTTCAAAGCACGGCTCTACAAACACGGGAGTACTCGTGTGTTGTATATAAGCGTTCGAAAACATATTCCAATGTTATCTGTGTAAAATGGTATACATAAAATATATACTATCCTCTGTAGCAGGTATATGCCATAATAATTAGTTATCTACACTCTCTGGCGTGTTGGCCGTCGGCGTTATAAAATTCATGATAATCCCCGACACCACCATTAAGTTCGCCATTTCTCAATGCGTGACCATCTTCGTCAACAAGAAAAACATTATTGCTTATACGACTACCCTTTTTCAACTGGCTACGCTTTCTATCACCGCGTCGACCTCTTGCTTGGCTACCAGACATTCCGCCATTGCCCGTTTCCATGACCCTATATGCGTCGTCATTACTGCGACAACACGCACAGAACGTGCATCCTTCCCTCTCCCTTCCCTTTCTAGGTTTGCCCCATTTCCCACCCTTTCCTATCGAACAATCAATACAGCAATGTTTACAGCAGTCCCGACAGGAATCCCGCAATGCATTGCGACAACAAGCCATTCTCCATGGGAAATAACCAGGCCTCCAACAACACCAATACGAAGCGTAGAGCAAAATAGGGACGGCCAACGGTATCCACCACCACCAAACGTCATCGTAGGTCCATACACGTACATCTGAAAAATAAGTCATTCATTTACTAATTATATCAATGTGATTGGATATATTTCAATACAATACTATTGTTTAGTTTAATTGTGCCCGGAATTGCGTTGTGAAACACGGCACGTTTTTATCTACATTGTGATGTTCGAGGCGAGGCCATTTTCATAGCGACCAGATTAGTCGTGCAGTCATGTATATATATATATATATATATACGTCGCTCAATTGTATTGATGGCCTAGCTTCGAATTAAACCATTTCGACCAGCAAGGCGTGAAGTTGCCAAGGCCCGCCCAAGGTATTGCGCCAACGCCTCCTGTTGCACTATATAGCTATAATCCCCGGGTCCTTTTATAAATCAGTCAATACTCCCGAGCAAATAATCGAAGTCATTCACTACCAAGTCAGCTATAATAGTAGGTACAGACAACATCCAAACAACTTACTGAACCAACCAACAACACTCTGTACGTGCAGTAGTGATGTTATATATTTAACTATCAACTAATATTCACACTATGTAATGATGGAAAAACTAGAAAAATTAAGCAGAGCATCATGACTATTTTTATTTAGATGCTTAAAAGCTCCGAGATCACGAGAGACTTAGCACACATCAGTTGATCGACCAACCGTTGAATGAGAAAATATCTATGTTCGATCAAACTCTAACAGAATAACATTATTTTGACCATGCGCTCATAGTTATCATATTAAGCAGTAGCAAACACAAACGTGTACCACGTATGACACAGGTTTAAAGGGGTGATCTTCGAATTTCAAACAATGTACACGCGTTGTATACGTCGCTATGGGTCCCATTTCGAACACGACGCGGCGTGTCGACCACCGCCCTTTAAAATATTGAAAAAATATACTTACATGGACAATACGAGGGCGCTAGCTCTACTAGTTGGTCGCTGTTATCACCGCAGTTATTAGCACTGTCACATCTCAACGTACGGGGAATACATCGTCCGTTGGTGCATTTTAGTTCTGTTACCTCGTCTGTACAGGAACCTGAGGACAAAATATATTTACTTTAATTTTGTAGAGACGTTGTTCGGCGTGGTGTCTTATACAACCGCAATATAACAATATATAATATTTGACGCCGTCTAACATATATAGCGTAAATGATTAAAATATACATGCTGGTAAAATCAGTTCAAATTCGATGATTTGTATCACATAGACCTGACGACCCTGATATAACATTCCGAGATCTGTGGGCAAAATATTTATTGAAAATTAATCGTTTTTTTGACAATTCGTACGCCCCTCTAATTTTACATATTCGTCAATGTAGTTAATACATGAGCGTCCATGGAGTAGCACGAGAATTTCTGTGTATGAACCTTAAATCGGTTTAAACCGGATTTTATTTCATACTTATAACAGTATGACTTCAATTCTTATGGAAATAGCAATACATTTGATTATAATATCTTAAAATGACAGAAATTACTCCTACATTCTTCAGTGGCGATGTAGAATTGCAATAATACAGCAGATGCCCGGGATAAGAAGGGGGCATTCGAATTGGCGTCAACAATGAATATTTTCAGTAAATATATTCGTCTTCAGATCTCGGAAAAGTCATATCAGGATCGTCAGATCCTTGTGATTTTCACATATAATTCATGCTACATAGTGATAATAAATAGAACCACGTGCGCGAAGTAACATCATATACAAGAGTTTGCTGTTACTCACCCTGTATCTTTATAGCGAGAACATATCTGCAATTCATGAAATAACATGAGAGAATATTGACAATAAAGGCGTATAAACATTTTACATAATTCGAACCTTACCAAAATCAAAAGATGTCATGAGTATGGTAAAGTTGACTGATGACGTGTCTCGCAGTTTCATTCTAACGGTTGCAAAGTTTGTGGTAGTTTGAAAAGTTGCCGGTTGTATTGTACCGCACGTATGGAGGAGTAGACTGTCATTTGTTGCGAATCTCCCATCGTATATTTGAAGGAAAGAAGCATCGCAGTTTGTAGAGTTACCGAGACCAGACTCAATCTCATTTCCCGGATCTGCAGAGAGAAATATTGCAATAATTGTAATATAACCACTATTATCAAATGTTGGGAAATTATGAGAAGTAACATCTAACATGTATAATTGTGCTTTATAGCAACAACATATTTATCCTGGTTTAAACATAAATACACATTTTTAAATAGAAATCAACGCATGTATTGCGGGACAAAAATTGTATTTATGTATTGCATAATTAAGCAATGCATCTTACCAGTTACAGCATAATAGTTTTCTCTTAGGAAACTTATAAGCAACATCTGGTCGTTTTTCATCGCTTGCATCGTAACAGAGCAATCGAGAAAGCCGCTTAGCGCTGTGCCATCAACAACGTGTGACTCCAGGCGATAGGCATCTTTCTTTACCGTCAGTCGGTTACAGTTTTCATTCATTATTACTGAAACATACAACGGAGGGGGGGGGGGAAACAATTAACATACATATTAGAACATCTGGGGTTTTTATGATACATTGCAGTTCTAATTCAAATAATTTTAATTAAATTTATTTATCTGAAACACTAGTGAAAAACGAAATGAAATGAAAACTGTCGACGGTTGGGTACAATCCCCTCAATAATGCGACACAGTTACATATCCTGTACTTACACTGAGTAGTGATAGCGTCAGTCGAGTGAACACTGATAACTAACAGAACATAACATCCCAAAAATAAAGTTGAAATCGGAGTCTTCATACTGACATCGAAACATTAGATCGATATTACTGGACGTGGGCTAGGTATAACAGCAGTGCGGAAAATGGCGTGTTCATAATAACTTGGAACTTATGCCAAGTGAAGCAACTACAACAATGCTCAATGCCGACGGAGTAGCAGTAAAGAAGGAACAAAGGTGTCAGAGCTCCGTTATGCACGTTGTATTTGCTGTATTCTACGGTACACAAAGTAACCTCAGTGATGTGCACTGAGGCAGAAAAAACGCTCGCCTGACAATACCCCATTATCACCGTGACCAATTTACAGTGAAATGAACTATCGAATCGTTGCGCAGAGCTAAAACTCCGTGAGTCAAAGGGTCGTGTCTTTTGTTAGTCTCTGTGCTTAGACCGAATTAAGGCGACTTCGGGTGTTGTTCATTGCCAATGACAATAAAAGATATATATCCCGAACATTGACCGACACATATTAAAATAATGATAAGGTCACCGTGGAAACCAGCTCCATAATAACCCTACACAGGCTAATTGGCTACATGTAATCAATATTATACGGGCGGTTGTTACTTTTTGTCGAACGACTGAATTCGCCTTGTTCCAAAACTATACACGTGTAATGGGGCAACATTTATACTGAATATATATATATATGTTTCGGAAAACGTCTAGTGAGTTTAATCTGTTCTCATTTCTATTGACAGTGCTGAATATATTGATATTTGCCCCGCTAATCCCGTAATGTATAGACTCCTATTATAGGGGGTGGGGTTGTATATACAAATCCCATTTCTGGACAACGGTAATAATTTGAGAACGGCAAGTGCTAAACAAATCATAAAGAATTGCGTTTATTGTTGGATGATGCTCCGTGGGTCAATCCACACAGTCAGGCCTTCACCCACAGGTGATCTGGCCAATAAAAAGACGAAGCACACTATTCTGTTTTTCTATTCAGGCTTTCTGGAAAGTGCTCACATATTTTCAACGCTTACGAGTCGTGTTAAATACGAGAGACAGTTATTTTAAATAGGGCAACAAACATGAATGACACCACGCAACTGTCCCATAATTCAGTGCGCTCATTAATACCACTGAGCGGAGTTCAGTAAAGCTGGCGACAGATGCATAATGAGGTAATATACATTTTTTACTCAATTTACTAAAAATGTAACTATAGTAACATATACATATCCACCGACTCAAAAAATTGCTTGTGATATTCCATTTTATTACGATTAAGGGATTGAATAGAGAACAAAACATTTATTTTCACTGGAAATTTATTTCACTATTCAAGTTGATTAAGTGTTTCCACATGTCGAAGAAACTCGGTTTAAACACTTTGACAGGCTTTCACTTATGAGTGACGTGTGTCATTCAAAGACACGGATTCGTTGGTAAATATTAACTGTGGGGCGAATGAACAACCGAAAACAGTTCGGCGCAAAAAATAAACAAAACAAACAAAAAACAGAACAGAACAAATAACAAGATACATATTTCATAAAAGGTAAATATTTAGATATTACTTTCGTTATTTGTACATTTAATAATACCAATACAATATTAGATACAATACTCCTAAACTCAACTCTCTGAATGACCTACGAACAAAGGACCGTGTGGCCGCACGTTAGAAAAAAAAAGAAAGAGCGAACACAAGAATTTCAAAATGAAAAAGCAAATATATATTTATTTTGTTGCCCATCACGTGTCTTGCGTGATATAATAATAAATAAAATCAAACCACTTAAATATAAGAGAAGAGAAACACACACCCCCATTGTACTGGTTCTTGTACGCAACATACATTTGGGCAAGGCAACAATAACAGTTGTGTTTCTATAGGCATAATATAAATAAATTAAATTGAAGTAAATATCTTCCGTCTTCCTCAGCTCCCATCTCACACTGAGTATTCATAACGGTGTGGTGAATGCTATAATTACTTCGTTAGTCTGAACAACGCATTTTTGTTCTTCAAACTTTGAACTGTACGAATTTTCGTTAAATTCCTAAATAAATAATGCATGTATTGGTAAATATACGACATGCCCACCAGTGTACCCTCTACGCCAATATGGCGCGCCCCTGACGCACACACATTTGCTCTGTCGCAACTACTTGTGTGTCATTGACGCTACAGAAAATCATACATCGATATAGCGAATTTGAAAAATACCTTATGAATTTTGTAAAATGAAGTTGCTATTTTGTAGATGAAATCAGGGGCCACAAAATTGTGCTGTGTACCACATATACATTCACATACAATTTTATTTCCTAAAGATTGACCTCCCAATCTGTCAAGAATCTGATTTTTTGGAGATTTCCAGAAAATTACTCTTGTTAGAGGGCACATTGGTCTCCATGTGTATTCACAGTATTAGCTAATCAACTGTAATGAACACATCGAATACTTCTTAATGCTGTTTCGTAGTACTTTCTCATGCATGAACAGTACGGACTTCGTTCTTAGAATCAACAGTGCTACCCTTTCCACTGTCCGGAGATCTCGTCCCTTGCAATGGTAATGGTGTTGAACTATTGGAATAACCATATTGTGAGTTATTGTGTCTATAATTTGATATATAAACGCCTTTCCGACTAGACAGCTTGCGGTAACCGCCTTCACCGTCCCCTGCGTCAGCTATGTAACGCGGTCCGCAACACGCACAACCTCGACATCCAGCGAACAGACCTCTCAAGCAGTTTCGGCTTTTTCGTGTGCACAGTTCACAAGGTCCGCCCAGACTTTTGTGTCTACATACGCAGCACACCCACTGCACATACCCAGGCCTCCAGCAACACCAGTACATAAGAAAGGGTAAAGTGGCAGCAACTATAGCTAGGGCAATCCACAATGGAATCAAATCAACGTAGTCATCTGAATACAAATTAAGAAACACAAGTATTTTAACCGTGATATACAGCAAGAGCAATGAACGAATACGACAATTGTATTTGTTTACTCCGAGATAATTTCAAAACTGAATTAATTAATCCGCTGCATCAGCACACCCATCCATTTCTGTTATTTATCGCAAATTAAATCACGCCGTTTTACGCAATGGTAAAAACCGGAGACGATGACTGAGTAGCATGATGTATATTTCCCATGCATACTTACAAGGGCAACTTAATGGATCGTTCTTCGACTGGTCGCTATAATCTTGGTTACCACAGCTTGATATGTTGGGACTAAGACATGTCATTTGTGTGGAAATACACAGTTTACTGGTTTCACAGTGAAAATCATCAGTTGCACTGGGACAAATCCCAAGAACGGTCTCTGTAAGAAGTAAAGAAAAGAAATATGAGAGATACAAGCTTACGTGGCACAAATGATCTATACATTAAGAGACACAGGACGAGTCGCGTACATGTTGATCATCAGTGTTTTTCATGTCTTACAACATTACGATCAGGCGGTAACTATTTTTGACCGATTGCGGAATTTGTCTCCATGGAAACTCAGAACAATTTGAATATATACGCGCTACAACTGATAGAGGGCAATCATAGTTTACAGCGCCGCAGTCCCAACACATCGTGGCAGTCGTCATGCTACGTGGCTTTCGTCACATAGCGCCACAGTTCGAATTTCATGAAAATAATTAAAAAGGAACGTATTTTACTCGCGGTGCGTGCGTCACATGAGACCCGCATCGAACACGATGTGGTCCGACGAATAGTATGGTGCTTGAATCCATTTTCGTACTCACCGCCTCTATAAGCCGTTAACACAGCACGAAAGTCTAGCACAGTACTATTGCCGTCAATTTCCACTTCGATAGTAACGCTATCACCTGTCGTCATCGTCAGACTCGGTCGATCAGAGCCACATAGTGGTCCTTTGAGTAGAGCGTCTGACGAAGACATTCCATCGTAAATATTCATAAATGCTGTGGTACAGCTACCCGTGTCCATATAACGCACACCTACATCAAACCAATGAAACTCCACCTGGACGTTTGTGTAAGGCACTGAAGCTCTGAAGGTGTAACTGCATATTAGTGATCGGTTGAAGAAATCGTATTCACCAGCTTTGCCATGTGAATCCAATAGCATGCCGTAATCGGTTTTCGTACGGCCGCATTTGTTTACGAATAAATCTGTATGAGAAATATAAGAAAAAGTGATTACAACTTTAGTCCGCAATCTGAAAGTGACGACATAGTAAATACTGTCACCGCGAATGTAGACTCTTTTGTTGGGGTCATAGTTGAGAATATTTCAAAGCAAGCCCATACTCTCTTAAACAGTACACAGCGTTGCAAACTGTCGTTGGCATTTTGTAAGGGACATCATACCCGAGCCTTTTGGTCTCCAGTGGGTAAATGTTTGCGAACACGGGCTTTCTGACATAACTACTAAGCTTCAACGACCCGGATGATTTATCAGGGGGGAATTCTTTCTCCACGGGGTTCTCCACACGTGTCAGGGGGGAATCTCGTCTCGTCTCTCTATCGCGTCCCCTTGAGGTATGGGATTGGGAAAATCAGTTAAGCTTTACAGTCAAGTAAGACTCACACAACGAAATACGTTTCAGCTCTCGTCTTAGTCGGTCAATCGAGCACTCTATAAGACACAGCGCCCTGGGGAAAAATCCCAAAGACTATCGCAAGGCTGACTCAAGACTCTCTTAGACTGCGTCAACACTCGCCCAAAGCTCTCCAGGACTGCGTCTGTTCTGCTGTACTCCCCAAGACCAACTAAACAACTTTATTCATTTTCAAAACTCTAACCAATTACAAAGCAGTAAAAAGACTCTAGGGCGTAACCTTCAATCATAAAGCCAATCACACTAAGTACTGAATACGTCATATCTTTTGATTAATGTTCACTACATTAATAACTACGGATACCAACTGTCAGAAAGAGTAGTCTGAATAGCGACGGTTATTTCGTAATTAGTTCCAAATCACTGAGTCGAGTTCCGTCCAAAACTTCAAATAGGCCTAAACGATGACAGACATAACACAGCAATTCGCTAATAATCAGCTAATTAAGTCGGACAACAGATACACAAAAACAAATTCATGACAGATTACTTGTTTTATGTAAAGTCCCATGTATCAGTCATGACAACTAGCTTCGTGATACGAATCGCATATTGCCTACTACTCCACGTGCTGTTAACTGTCAATTTTCATTTTCTATGTTCTGCGTTCGTAGACATGTGTATGGCGGTTAGAAAAGCATGAATATGAATTCAGCTTAACTTACCACATGTATACATGGAACTTGTATTGTCTTTTTTTAAAAAAACGTGTTATTGTAAATACTTTTTTAATTTGTACAATGGGCTCTGTACTGAAATAAATAATAATAATAATGGAAGAGTACGAGCACTTTTAAAGTAAAGTAGAACTAGGCTGGGTAAAAGAGGGGCGTATTTTCAGAGTTTTATTATATGCTCTTTTGAAAGAATCTCTTTTTGTGATTAACGCCATTCTTTTTGACTCCGGCATTCACACTTTCAAGTATTTTTGTAAACGAATTAGGTCACCAAATGCTGAAAATAGATGAACCATCGTTACAGAGCACAGGAGCCTAAACTGTGGTCCCTCATTCCACTCAGCGTCTGCACCACAGATAAAACTACATATGATCACGGTTTCTAGTAACCGTGATATGATTGAGAAAATAAGTACGATTAGCCTCAGTAGATATAAAATGACGTCATACCTTGCTCAATACTATTACTCGTTGCAGCACTGGCCAAGTCAACAATAAAGAGGTACACGATCCATCGGAACGCTAATTCGTACATTGCGCCGTATCACTGTGATCATCTATAGTTTGAGCAAACGGTATCAGTCTCTTTGATATAAACAACACGCGGTGCAGAGGGAGAAGTGATTATACGGCTTTGCCTTTATAGTCACCCTTATTCATTGCTAGACAAATTTGTATTGAAAGTGTCACATACGTATAACAGTATGTATTACTACGCGCGACAAGAAAAAGTCCTCGTATATCTTTCTGTACAAATAATATACTAAGTATTACTGACACGTCATTCGCTTGTTGTTAAAATATGTAAATGCGTATGAAGGGGCAAAGTTCCGGAATAAATGTAATTTAATTTTATATTGTTATGGAAAGAAAAACAAATACAAAACAACAACTTTCCATGTTTACCGTATGAACAAACACAGCAAGCTATAGAACTCGTCTAGTCATGGCCTGGAGTCTTACAGTAAAATAATTTGCACGCTGGAATAGTTTAGGACGTTGGCGTGAACGGTCGTCGTCAAGAGTTTCCACGACAACGCTTCGTTTACCCTATCAATAAACTTAAACAATGTGAGACAGTATAATATAATATAAACTTTAACCTTTTTGTAGCCTTCAATCCCTCTAAATGACGTCAGTACACAAGAAAACATGCTATACGTTGCATAACAGATAGGCATAGCAACGACTGGTGTTGACTATCTCCACTATAACAAACATGTTACTGCACGGGAGGAAGGACTCACTGGGTTTAATTTTAGCGGATTTGATGTTGCAGATATATCCACCAGATTTTTATTCACTTGTTTGTGAAGGATACAGTTCTTTTTATTGTTAAAAAATATTGCAGACTAATTTATGTGATAAAAAATCTAATAATAAGTAAGCCCTGTACAGTACCCTGATATTATAAGCATTCCAAGAATCAGACGAAGCGTGATGAGTTAACCAGCCTTGAAGAATACTACATATTTAATTGGAACACCAATAATACAATAATGACGCTCTCCGTTATGCTCACACCCATTTTAACAGTCGGGCCACTAATTTCAAACAAAGACGCAGGTTTTATTGTCATTGGTACCAATGTGTAATAAATGCCGTAAACCAGGACGGGTCGGGTTAACCTATATCTGCTAAGTGAATTTAAATGAAATACTTTAAAAAAACAAAAACAAAACAAAACTTACAGCCGCAAAACGGGAATGTTAGCCTTTGTTTGCTGACACAGAGCAGGTGTAAGTGTATATGTGTATTGTGGATCACTACGTATAAGTAATTGTACGCCATGGAACATATTCGGCTGGTCTTATTTTCCTTGCGTACTTTCAAATAGCAAGCCATAATTGGCAATAATAATAAAATTACAGGGCCAAAGGTATGTTCAAACGTATAAAGGTATCTTTCCTTTCGCGTTCTCGGAGAAACAAATAAAACACTACTGTTGCCTATATACAAGTGGAAAAAATAGGTCTTAAACCGCTACAGCTGTCACGCAGAGCGTGTTCAAATTATGCGTAAACAATCAATGTATTTTACACGCGTTCACACGTCGCTATTGGATTTATATCAAACACGACATGAGTTGCTGTCTATGGTATTACGTGTACATACGAGTTTGGGACACGTTATACATACACGACTACAGTTAACATACAAGTGCTTTTATCTAACGCGGAGTAGACGTTCTTACCTGTTTTTTTTTTTTTTAAATGACGCCCTCAGCGACACAGGTTATGTTTCTGAGCAGTGACGTCGACGTAACTAGCTTTATTGCTGGAATATTAAACCAGATTAACCAACCAGAAACTTATATATGTACGTACTATTCCGATGCATTTGGCAGAATGAAAACTATCTTCCGCTTTGTTATTATACTTTCCGTTCGTATTTTTATGGTTCAAATATTCGCTATATCATAGGATGACCTTTAGTGTGGATAGCGGGGAAAAATTAAGTTACACTGTGATTTGTAACCGTCGACGACGTTTATATCAACTTGAACTTTGCAAAGAACACAAGTCGTTTTTTCGCACCATATTGCAAATTTCGACTTGTTTTTAATTTTCGCACAAATATAATAATAACGCTTTCAAGTTTGTATACAAATATGAACGTAGAAGAAACAACTGTCCAACTATTCATCAGGAATATATATCCTCTACGAAAATGGCCGCCGAGATCTCGTTGAGTGCGCGAGAGATCCACGATACTTGTTCTGTCTCCTCGGTGTAAATGCATTATTAATTGATTTTAATTTCGCTATTTTTTGAATAAGTGAACTATTAAATTCACCTAAACTTGTAGTATAACAATATAATTCCTTGTTAAGTTCGTGAATTTATAACACAGAAAAAATCCTCAAAACATCAAAATAATGAAATTAAATGATACTTTCCACCGTCGTCGCGTCTGAGGAGCGTAGTCTCTTGCTCACAACGAGATCTCGACGCATTACTAAAGTAACTAATTACAAATGAGCAAATCTATGACAAAAAGATGATGGATTCGTCTCAATGTGTGTCCTTGCGTGCAAATCAAAAATGTGCTCTCCGCATGTCCGATAAACTATTTTGAAGCGACGTGCACACGAACGCGAAAGAAGACGGACCCAACATATTTGGATGCTCAGAAACAGTATACAATGGCATAACAGAATGTAGAGTTTTATTAATGCATGTTGTAGACAGCGAACTAAATTTATTTTGTCTACGACTGGAGCTGTTGTACGCGATACTACAGCTACCCGATCAGTGTAGAAGCGTGTGCGGAGTAATGACTGGTGGGATAGACGACTTTCCTGAAAGTCGAAGGTACGGTGTTTCACATGCGCACATGTCGGTTTGTGCTGTAACCTAAATTTGCCCTCGTGATATTGTGCTTCTGAGTGTACCAATCAACGTTAAAAAAATAAAATTCCCTTCTATCGACTATAGCAAACTGACATTTTTTTCTTATTTTTGCACCCCAGTCTTGCCACTTCCGGGAAAGTCGTCTATGAAGTCATTATACTAACATGGGACAAAGCAACAATCCTCTAAAACTTCAGATTTGTTTAACTAAATAACTTTTCGTTTCTAATATTTGAACATTTTTTTTCTTCAATTCATGCGTCTTCTAGGTTGTTTCTTTGTTACGTCTAAGTTTGGTTGCCATTTGGAAATGAGAAAATTGCATATTATATTTGATCGCAAGTATAATATTCACACCCGAAGGTCGCCACACCGGGGCTAAGCGTTCGCGCACACTTCGTTAGCCCGTGCTAAGGGTCTGGACCGCGTCTTAAAATCGGATCAGATTTTACCCGTACTTAGCAGTCCTTAGCCCGTGCTAAGCGTTCACGCACGTTTTCTGAGCTCGGGCTAAGGAATTTGACCTCCGTCTTAGCCCGTGCTAAGGAGCTGTGCGTGGACATTTTTACAAATGACGTCATTGCGTACTGCGCTCATTGATTGACTTGGTCGGATTAAACTGACATTGAATTTATATTTAAAAAAAAGGAATGGGTTTGTGATCACGACAGTATTATTCAGAACATGTTCAATTCACATCTACCCTCGTGAGATATCAATAATGATTATCACAATTGCATACCCTTATCTCCTTATGCCTTCAACTTTTTATGTCATCGATCTCTCCAGAGGGCGCTATTCATGATGTCTGCAATACTTTAAAACACTTAAATCTGTTTGTATTATCAATAGGGTCGGTTGGTAACAAAAAAGATATACAAAAACGAGAAATAAAAAAAGATTTTCTTTCACAACGATCAAACGAATCGCAGTTTTTTTATGATTTTAACGAGACCGAACTATATATAGACGCAAACATGTGTTATTATTATATTCAAATTTGTGTTTAATTAGTGCACCTAGAAATTATGTGTATTATTTCGTTGTCAGTGATCGTACTTGCAACTTGGTCACGGACAGTGGC